AGGCGACCGCCCTGCTCTGATATTTTCCTACCCTAACCGGAAAATTTCCTCTTGATCTGTTCTGCTGCCTCAATGCAAATCAAAGATTAATTTGGCTTAACAAGCATGCTCTTAAATGACGTAGGTAACTCTGGACCAGTTAAAGCTCTACTAGCCATTAATACAGGAACATGACTTAGTTCACTTCAAACCTTCCAATGAGTCCTTCGTGGCACTTAGCTATGCTGAATAAAAAGGAGCTTGGGCTGCGGGAGCAGGAAGTCAAATCAATTTATGGAGCCCTTAAGAGGTGCGGGAGGGGAAATGCTTATGGCAACATGAGACTCTGTGAGAGGAGCCAGGAAAGGAGGCACCACCGGAAGGGACAGAATAGGCGTGTGGCTCTGACAGCCGGCAACAGAGAAAAGGACGGTTGTGTCCCCCATCCTGGAAATCTCTCTGCCCATTGACAAATTTATCATTGAGCTCCATTGCAATAAGGGAAATACTCATGATAGAATGTAGAGGGAACAAAGCAAGAAGCGTAAGAGAAAAAGTCAGAGGTTGACACATTCAAACTCCACCTGCTTAAATATTTCAACTGTAGTTGCCCTTGGGAGCTCTTTCTTCTTTTCCTTCTCCTTTTCACAGATTCCTTCCCCACCCAAGGTGAGGCCATTACTATGGCATTTCAGCGACATGATCCCTGGGAAAGTCTTCTGTGGTCTAGCAAACACTAGGAATATAACTATGGTTTATAGCATTGTCCCTGGGGGGAATCTTGAACATTCTCAGTATCCAATTCTTAAAATGTACTTTTGTTTATAAATTGGAGACTGCCTATAATTCCTGTAGTATTTTGCTAATCCGTATTGTTATTTTAATAGAGAGGTTCCTTCTTTCAGACAAAGCACAGTTGGCCGGATTATGTGGTTTGTCTCCCCATCTATCGATCTATCTACCCACAGACTGGGTGACTTAAATAACAGAAATTTATTTTTTCACGGTTCTGGAAAGTAGATCGAAGTAGTAGAAAGTAGTATGTAAGATCAAGGTGTCTGTGGGTTTGGTTTCTCCTGAGGCCTCTCTCATTGGCTTCCAGATGGCTTTTTTTTTTCTGTGCCCATACAAGTCTGTCTTTTATGTATCCAGATTTCCTCTTCTACTTTTTGAGACAGTCTCACTATGTTGCCCTCTGTAGAGTGCTATGGCGTCACAGCTCACAGCAACCTCCAATTCTTGGGCTTAAGGGATTCTCTTGCTTCAGCACCCCAAGTAGCTGGGACCACAGGTGCCCACCACAACACCCAGCCATTTCCTTGTTGCGGTTGTCATTGTTGATTTTTTTAGCTGGCCTGGGTTGAGTTCAAACCCACCAGCCTTGGTGTGTGGTTGACACCCTACCCATGGAGCTACGGGTGCCACCCAGATTTCCTCTTCTTATTAGGATACCAGAAAGATTCAATTAGGGCCCCTACTCATATGACCTCACTTAACATTAATTACCTTTCTTTTTTTTTTTTCAGTTTTTGGCCAAGGCTGGGCTTGAACCCACCACCTCTGGCATATGGAGCCAGTGCCCTGCCCTTGAGCCACAGGCACCACCCAATTACCTTTCTAAAGGTCCCACCTCCAGCATGGGTAAGGTGTCTCATGCCTATAATCCAAGCACTTTAAAAGGCAGAAGCAGGTGGATCACTTGAGGACAGGAGTTTGAGACAAGCCTGGGCAATATATCAAGACTCTAATCTATATATTTCTTTCAGAATATTATGGGGTACATGAATTTTAGTTACGTAGTTTGCTTTTGTGTATTTTAAGTCAGAGTTCTAGGTGTGGCCTTCACCCAGAAAGTGTGTAATGTAGCCATGCAATGTTCTGTGGGTGAGAATTTGCCCTTCCCTTCTCCCCACTCCCCTACTTGAATTTCATTTCCTTATGAGCATACAAGTGTTGATCAACCAGCTCCAATTTAATATTGAATAAATATGTGGTGTTTGTTTTCCATTCTTTCAATACTTTACTTAGGACAATGGTCTCCAATTCCATCTGGGTTGTTAGGAAAGATACTAGGTCACCATCGTTTTTATGACTAATATTCCATGGTATACATATAATACACTTTATTAATCCATTCATGTATCGGAGGGCACTTGAGTTGTTTTCATGTCCTTGCAATTGTGAATTGTGCTTCTATGAACATTTGAGTACAAGTGCTCTTATTACGTCTTTTTTTCCTTTGGGTAAATATCTAGTAGAGTGATTACAGGATAAAATGGTAGGTCTATTTTAAATTCTTTGTGGAATCTCTACTTTCCATAAAGGCTAAACTAGTTTGCCTAGTTTCATTACCATCAACAGTGTATGAATGTTTCTTTCTCTCCACATCCATGCCAACATCTACTGCCTTGGGACTTTATGATCTATATTTTTTAAAATTTTAATAATTAGCCAGATGTGGTGGTGCACACCTGTAGTCCTTGCTACTTGGGAGGCTGAGGGAGGAGGATCACTTCAGCCCAGAAATTAGAGTTCATGGTGATATATGATCTAGCCATTGCACTCCTCAAAGACAGAACAAGATCTTATATCAAAAAAAAAAATCATTTATACAGATAAAGTCACATTCTGAGCTACTAGGGGTTAGGGCTTCAACACAGGAATTTGAGAAGGACACAATTTAGCCCATAAGAGGAGCTAATATTTTGAACTTTCACATTTATATTCACAAGCAAGTTAGACCTACAATTTTTTTCAGAAGTTGACAAAGATTTAGAAAAAGTTTTATTCTATCATCTGGAACTACTTGTATAATTTAGAGATTATATGTTCCTTGAAATATGCCTAAAATTTCCCACTAAAACCTCTAGAAAGTGTTTTGAGTCTATAAAATAAAGGGAAATGTTTTATTAGCACTTTATTTAATCTAATATTTGTTCATCTGTTTAAATTTTCCATTTCCTATTGTCCTGTGACAATTTATATTTTATAATAACTATTAGCATTATGACTTTCACATTTATGCCTTTTATTCAAGTGGAATTCATCTTGTATATGGGTTAAGATAAGGATCTAATTTTGTTCCTCTTTAATGAACCTACTTCCCCCCATCATCTATTCACCATCCATTCTTTCTCCAATGATTAATAGAACCCCTTTATTACACATAAAGTTTCTACATACACATGGAAATAGTTTATCACATGCTGTCCTTTTTCCAATTCACTTTTTACAAAACACTAATTTTTTTTAACAATATACATTTAACATTTCCAACAACCCCGCAGGGCGCTGCCTCTATTTAGAAAATGGCAGATGGAAATGGGGAAAGATTATATTTAGCCCAAAGCTCACATAATACTGAATGACATACCAGGACTTCTGTCTCCAAATTAATTGCTCTTTTCCCAGCTCACTTGCCACCTATTTAAGTAGCAGCTTCTTGTACCTAATTCCAACTATTCATTTAGATACTCATTGAATACTTGCTCGATTCTAAATACTATTCTAGGTTCTAGAACAATGACAGAAAACCAGCAGGACCTCAATAACAACTGGGCCTTTAACACAACAAAGTAGTCAGCTTGTCCCTGGTATAAGTCCCTATTACCTAGGCCCATGCAACCAAACCTATATTCCCCAATGTTCAGCCACCCTCCTTGCCCTTCCTAAAAATCTACATTTAGACCATCCTGCTACAATTGAAATAATTTTCCTTCTTGTTCTTTAGTGAAAGGAGTTGTCGTCCATTCCTGATAACAATATCAAATAAAGAGTACACCTCAGATTCGTTGTTTCGCCAAACCCCAGGCTTGGACAGCTATAATACTTACAAATTAAAAGAACCGAGTTGCCAGACTCTTAAGAATTTTGTAGTGTTTTATTGTTTTACTATTAAAAATTTTTAATCTTGAAATTGGTTAATCTTACAGTAAAAACTAACCATATATTTGTTTTTATACATTATATACATTTGAGAAATAAATAGTATTCTAAGC